AGGAGGAGAAGGGGGGAGAAGGTACAGAAAATAAGTAGCATAGACAGTAGATAGAAAATAGATGGGGGGGCAAGAATAGCAGGGGAAATACAGAATCTAAAGAACTTGAGACACATGGTCATAAACTAAAGGGGGGGTAATGGTGGGGACGGGGGATAGGGTGGAGGGGAATGAAGGAGGGAATAGAACAACTGTAATGGCATAATCAATAAAAAAATTAAAAAAGAATAACAAGGCATCCTTTTAGAGCTCTTTGTGCCTCCAAAGTACCATAAACTCACTAGCTCCTGATGTCCTGGTGTTGGTGGCCTTGGTTACAACTGGAGGCAGTGGCATCTCGGAGATCATGACTGTTGGCAGCCTGTGAATCTGCAGTTCCCACAAACCCAGAGCACTGGGCTGAGAACCAGGGATAGGGGTTTGAATCACAGCTCTGATCAGCCTGGCTCCATGAGAATAGAGAAATTACATTTACCTTCTGGGTCTCTCTGGCTACCACATGGGAGTGGACCATTTTCAAAAGTTCCTTCTCTTCCCTTAAGTCCTGGACAGCTTCCCAGACCTTGGGAACAATGGGTCGTGATGCTCATGCCGGTGTTGTAATTGGTACATAATTAGGGAGCCAATGTGGGCAGCATCTAGAATGTTCTGATGCCAAGATGTTTCTATAATGCCCTCCCTCTATAACTCATGGAACTAAAGTTGCTCCTTTTTAAGAAAGAATTAGGGTGGCAGTGCAGGGTTATTGGTTAGTTGACAATATCTCCTTGCCCAGAAGCACTGGGCTGAGAACCAGGGATAGGGGTTTGAGTCGCAGCTCTGATCAGCCTGGCTCCATGAGAATAGAGAAATGACATCTTTCAAAAGACAAGTATCTGTGTGTTTGGCTCCCCTGCAGGGAGAAGATTCTAACACTTTCCAAGGGGGCTCTTAAGTCCCTGGAAAACGTGTTTGCACTGACCTGGGATCAAGAAACATGGTTTATTTATCAGGGAGCTTAGCAGCTTCCAAACACTCTTCAATAAATTGCATCACCTCCTGGACCTAAGACCTAACAGATTTACATCCAAGTCCCAAAGTGAAAATTGGAGTTTAAATTTGGATGCGTGAGTGTTCTCTAGCTCACTCTCGTGCCCACACGCATGGCTCTGTGGTCCCCATGCTGCGGTGGAAAGCAAGCTGAACCAGAGGTCCACATACCCAGCACCCGGCTCCCAGTCCCTGCTCTGCCCCTGCTGTCATCCCTGGGCCTGCACCCATGACCTGGCCCTTCTCTTGGGAGTTGATAGTCTCAGCCTCATTTGCACCTACGCGAAAAGGAGCCTGAGCCTTTTCACGGGGGTGCAGGGCTGTCATAAACCCCTTTGGGCATCTGCTAAGACCTGTGGAGCCCCAGCAGGTAAATGGTAACACTTTTCGTACAGTTTCAGGAGCCCCTAAGTTGCAAGTCCTTCAAAGGAATGGTATTTTCAGGCCTGTTGCTAAGCCATGGCGTCCTGCTCCAGAGGCAAGACAGACGCTATTTTGAAAGCAAATGAGAAATTTTATAAACCCTCCTCTGTGGAAAAGGACATGAGTCTTTGTATCATTTAGGCGTTATTCTTTTCATTTCCTGCTGCGTGGAAGGAGTGTCTGTGCTTTTTGATTCCCAGCAAGCAGGCTGTGAATGTGCTTCAGCACAAAGTAATGTGCAGCACAATGAAGGCTTCTGCGGGGTAAGGGAGGTTCTGTCCACCCAGAGCGCCTCTCCAGCCTGGCCGGTCACTGCCATTATCCCCTTGATGGGGCCTGCTGCTGGTGGTGTGATGGGCGTGGGGAAAGCTGCACGGTCAGTCAGCCCTTACTGGCCTTCACAGTCACTTGCCAGGGGTCCTTGCCCTCTTATGTTCAAGATGACCCATCCAAAGTCACACAGCCAGTAAGGATGACAGTTTTCTCCCCATGCGTGTTCACTCCCAGCTCATTCCTCTTCCCCTCTCCTCATCTTCCTCTTCCCCTCATGGGATGTTGGAGGGAGAAAAGCTCCCTCCCGCCTACACTCAGGATGATGCATCAACCACCCCACGAGGACCTCTTCCCCAAAGCTCATGGGTGTTCTCTAAGTGCTCCAGCCGGCAACATTGCCCAAGCAGCCTCTTAGAAATTGTCACATCAAGCAAATTGTTGCTGTGGCTGTGGACCTGGTGAAGGGTGCTCTGAGGAGTTTGTGCTCAGCTGGGATCTTGCCCTGGGGGATGGGGCAGTGTGTCTGGGCTCCTGTATCTGAGGATCTGGGTTCCCAGTGTCAGGTTCAGTGGTGAGTCCTGTTGAGTCTGAGAGCTGGGATCCTTGTTGATTTGGGGCCTGTGGTGCCTCCCACATCCTCTAGACTGCTTTGAGGAGCCATGTCTTGGGCCCCTTTCTTTCTCACATGTACACAAACAATAGTGATAGCACACCCTGGCACCTTAGAACAGATGGCCTGTGGGCTCCAGCTCTAACCTGACTCCTGAATCCAAGCTTGGGGACCCCTTGGACCCTGAGTGTCTCCTGCATTGGCCTGGCTAACTGGGGAACTGTGTGTGTTTGGAGCTTTTCCCTCCACTCTCAGGGTCATGGTCACCCAGTCTGTTGTTTCTGCAAGGCACTGGCTTGCAGATGTTGGCAGGGTGACAGGGAAGACCTGCTTCAGAAGCTTCCATCCTAATTCTGCACCAGAGGGTGGACAGGGTGTCGCTGGCTGGCCGCCTCCTCTGGGCCTGTGTGTAACTGGTGGCCGTTCGGCCCTGCAGTAGTCACGGGACTCAGACTCCGAGGTCCAGGTGCAGCTTCCAAAGACACAGCCCCACTTTCCTGGCTGAGCATGGAGTCTGGAAAACTGCTGTCCCCGTTTTTAATCCAAACCCATTCTGAATCCAAACATGCTGGAGCTGCCTTGGGAGGAAAGTGGAAGCTGGGACCAGTCCTAGTACCCTGGTGTTCCCTGGGCCGTAGCCGAGGGCACAGAGCAGCGCTCAGCTGTGCCAGAAGCCTTCTGGGCAGAGTGGTTCTCATCAAGGACTAGTAGCTGGGCAGTAATCAGAGAAGCCTGATGCAAGGACAGATCCTGGCAGGTAGCCCAGCCTCCCGAATTGGCCTGGCAAGAGCCAATCTGGGACATTCCCTGGAGGCAGGTGGCAGGAGCCAGGCAGGATGTAGCCACTTGGCCCTGCGCCAGGGCAGGCTCTCCCAGTGCAGCACCGGGGGTGGGAAGGGTGCATCAGTGTTTCGGACAGACCATGCAACCCCTGAGTAAGTTTCCTCACCTGTGACATGGGGACCCTAAGAACGCCTACCTCTTAGTTATTGTGAGGGCTACTGTAATAATTACATCATTATTAGTCTCATTGTTATTCTCATCATTTATGCAAATAGCCAGTGAGCTAAAGCCTGGAGAGGACAAGAATAGCTATCCACATGCCAGCATGCAGGGGCCCCTGCCATTCCCCGTACCCACTTGCCCAGGGCAGATGCCATACTCAAGGAATGAGCTGGGCTGTGGAAGGCAGTTCAGCAGGTCCTCAATAAGTTAAACAGAGTTACCATGTGACCTGGCAATTCCCCTTCTCAGTATTACCCAAAGGAATTGAAAACATGTATCCAAATAAAAATTTGGACATGAATGTTCACAGCAGCCCTATTCACAGCAGCCAAAAGGTGAAAACACCGTACATGACCATCAACAGAAGAATGCATAAGCAGACCCACACAGTGAGTATTATTCAGCTGTAAAAAGGAATGCAGCACTGATGAGTGACAGAATATGAATGAGCTTAGAAAACATTATACTAAGTGAGGAAAGCCAAACGTAGAAAACCACATATTATATGACTCCATTAACATTAAATATTCAGAGCAGGTGAATCCACACAGAAGATTAGTAGTTTGCAGGAACTGGTGGGGGGGGGAGAGTACAAGGTTTCCATTTGGGGTGATGAAAAAGTTCTGATACTAGATAGTAGCAATGGCTGTACAACATTGTGAATGTAGCACATGTAAATGTGCTACCAAATTGTGCATTTTATGATAGTTACAATGATAAATTTTAGGTATGTGCATTTTACCACAATAAGAAAAGAAAAAGAGTGGGGCAAGGCTGCAGCCAGGTGAGAGTCTACAGAAGTTGAACCATCTATTAAATGAAGGACTTCTCGGATGATCTGGGAGGTCACTTGCCATTCTAAAAATATTCTGTGGGTCACCCTGGCTGGAGTGGCTCAGGTGGTTGGAGCATCATCCCATAAACTGAAAGGTCACAGGTTTGATTCCTGGTCAGGGCACATTACCTAGGTTGCTGGTTTGACTCCTGGTTGGGGCACATACAAGTGACAACCAATCGATGTTTCTCTCTCACATTGATGTTTCTCTCTCCCTTCCTTCCCCTCTCTCTAAAATCAATAAGCAAAGTATGTTCTTGAGTGAGGATGAAAAATAAAGTAATAAAAATAAATATAAAATATCTTGTGGGTCTATGATACAAATGCCTGCAGCTCTTTCCCCCACCCCACCCCCACCCTCCAGCTCATCTCGACCAGGGACAAGGGCAGGTGACAATAAGCAACTGAAGAATAAAAAAACTGGTACCTGCATGTTGGTCTCAGCTAGAGCTGAGTTTCTTTGCAATCAAGTGAGGAAGGCTTAGCACACCCCTTTAACCAGAGAAGCTATACTTTATCTGTTTCATATAATAAAGTTCTACATGCAGATTTATTTGAAAGAATGTACTGGTAGAACATCACTTTCTTGTACAGATAAATAAACTGAGGCTCAGAGAGGGGCAGTGACTTGCCCAAGGTGCTGGCAAGTAGAGAGCAACACCCTGAATCAGATCCCCTGGGCCTCTGCCTGTCTGTAAGGCCCCCTGAGCACTGTGCCATGTCTGCTGGTGGACTTCCTCAGCGCCACTTTGGCAATTCCTCCTTCCTTGGGAATCATGGGAAGGGAAAACGACCCTCAGTGCTGGTCCCTCTTCTGGGTTCTAGGAGCATACACTCTCCCCAACAAAAGCCCTCATGCCAAGTGCCAGCCTTCCCTCAGGAAGACGAGCAGGCCACTCCGCCTGGACAGGGCCTTGCATACGCATCTCCAGGTGGGTGATGAGAAGAGCAGCTCTTCCTTGGTGGAAATCGTAGGCCCATTCAAGACAATCAGGGAACCATGATACAGATCCATCTCTAACTGTGGGAAAAATTATACACTTTATTCTTCTCTATAATTATGCTGGTTCTAGCAGGAACAGGAAGTATATTAGGCAATGCATTCTTTTTTAAAGATGTTTTTGAGACCCAGTTTGTCAAAATTAAAACACTATGCTCTTGCTACTGGTTGGGCAGCCATGTGCCCAGCCACAACTTCAGTATAATGGAAGGAGGGGTGAACAGCTTTTGGTAGTGCATCAGCAGTCTTAGCTACCTTATCAATCAAACTTAAGTTTTGATGTAACTCCCATCTCTAGAAAAATGGAGAGCATCTCTACCTACAGATCACAGTTAAGGCTGATAGGTTTAAAGTAATCCATGGAATTGAGTTGTATCAGGTGTACCAGCCTCCAGTGTCTGCCCACTTCCATGGGTTTGGGGAGCCCGACCCTTAGATGCCTGCCTTACCTGCTCATCTGCTGTGTGTTGTGCTGCCTAGTCCCTGCTTGGAAACTTCTAATAAAAGTCAGAATTTCACCCAGCCAACCCCAGCAGAAGAAAGGCACCCAGGCTCAGCAGGGAGAGTAGATGGGGAAGGAAAGGTTCTGATTTACTGGAAATGAAGAAAAATAAGCAGTTTGTTAAGTTAGGAGCTGTATACACCTCTGTCGACTGCCCTGCACAGTTCCAGGGCAGCTGTGCACACCCACACAGACTGTTTGCTGCACAATTCCAGGGACAGCCATTCACAGGGACTCTGATATGTGCAGCACCCACTGCAGTTTGTCTCATCCCATGTGCCACCCTCTGCTGGACCCCAACACCCTGGGCCCTGGGGCCTTTCTGCTCCTGCTGCTCCTCACCTTATAAATCCCTAGCTCACCCCAAAGGGGTCTGCATCTTCCATCCTTGCTAGGTGGGGCTTCTCAGGAGGCGTCTCAGTGCTCCTTGAACCAACCCTGGACAGAGAAATCAACTCAAGATGGAAATGACTTCTCTCTTCAAATCCTACTAAAAGTCAGATCCATGAAGCCTTGACAAGGACATTCACAATTCCAGCACTTAATTCCTGGGTCCAGCACTTATTCTGGGTACAAATAAAATAGAGGTGAAAGCACCTGCCTCACTGAGTCATTGAGACCGTCAAATGAGAGGCCTGGTGCCTAAAAGGGTCCTACACTATTTGCTGGCTGAAGCAGGGTGCTGGGGTGTCCAACTGCTGACCAGAGAGTCTGGAAGAGACACTGGGACCAGAGGTGGCTTCTCGGGGCCCTAAAACACATTCTCTCCATGACTAGAAAATTGTAGACTTCTGGAACAGAGGCAGAATGACCTGTCTCCCTTGGATCCAGTGTCTGTTTATTCAATGAGCTGCTTTCAGATCCAGCACATGCACACACTCCATCTCTCACAGCTCTGCAGCCTGTGATGCTGGGCGTCTGCAGGAGGAGCAGGAGGAGGAGGCCACTTGTGTTTCTCAGCACTGAGATCCCATGGGGGTAGCCTTAGGGGCTCCTGGTTCTCCCAGCCTCTGCTGGAGCATCTTTATGGGCTGGAGCAAGGGTGAGGGAAAGGGGCTCAGAGAAGGGGCACGTGCGTGTTCATTGCCAATGCCTGTCAAAGCCGCCCCTCCTGGGTGGTTTCTTTGGAGGTCTGCCTCCTTTCAGGAGCACTTGATTGTGCCCCTGTTCCCATTCCTGCCTCATTCCATTTACTTCCAAAAAGATTTTCTACTCTGATGCATCATGGACATAAGTCTGTGCTTCTCACCTGTGGCTGGAATTGAAAGACTAAGGAAATGAGAGGGCAAGGCAGAGAGCGCAAAGAAAACTCTGTGGAGAAAAAGACAAGAGGAGCTCCCTGAGCTGACCTGTGCAGACTTCCTTGGAAGCCCTGTTGGTGGACTGGCTGACGCCTGTGCAAAAGCAGCTACACAGAACTGTCCTCCACATCTGCATAGGTTCAGGCCATAGAATTATAACGTTTGCTTCTTTCCTATTCATCACCTTTGACTTGGGTGTCCTGGGGACTGTGTAAGAAGTATTTGCATGACTCTTACAGGATGCAGGTTCTTTCCCATAGCTCATAGTGCATGTGCTCATCCGTTCATTCATTCACTCAACACCCGACACCCACACGCTGAAACTGTGCTGGATGTTCAGGGTACAGAACTGAGGTCATATTTTAGCAAATGATGTAGTTAAGGCAAATGTCATAGGCTTAATTAATTGGGGGGAGGTGTTGGTGACCCTCAGTGAGTGTAAGACCAGGAAGAGGGTTGGAGAAACCTTCAGTGCATAGAGAGGGATGTGGCAGAAAGAGTCAAAGGCTTGAAGAATACTGACTATCTTTGACAAGCAGTATAACGGTGGTGAAGAGCCAGGATTGAACATCCAAACCAGGATACTTTTTAAATGCAAAGGGACACTACAATAATCACACAAAAACAATAGATTTAAGCTGGGATTGTCCTAGAGAAACTGGCATTGTGGGCAAACTGGAACACATGGTCCCCTGAGAAGAGCCCACTTTGAAGCCAGACTGTCTGACTCCGAATCCCACCCTGGCTTACTAACAGTGTTGCCTCAGCAAGCTTCGTAAACTGTCTCCCTTCCTTCATCTGCAGCATGGGGGTGATGGCCATGCCTACTCATGGTTATTGTGAGGATTAAAAGAGGTAATACAGTGCTTAAAACCATACCTGACGTATGGCACATGATCAGCATTAACTATTGTTATTGTCAGGCACATGTTGAAACACACAGCCTTGGATGATGCAGAGGTAGTCAGAAATCACTATGCCAGCTCTAAGTCCTGGAAGGGAGCTGCATCTGTACCCAGTCCAGCAAGGGAGATAGACTTATTCCAGTTTTATATGTGGCAGAAACTGAGTCCAAAGTCTCAGGGCAAGTTACAAACAGAAGTGGGAATGGAACCCACTTTAGGTACAATGCCATTCCTCCTTAAGTCAAAGTGGGGGAAAGGAGTAGGGAAGGGTGATATCTGATACCATCTGGGCTTCACAACCTCATTAGCCCAGCTTTGATGACAAAGGCCCTGAGATGCAGCCCCAGGGAGTCCAACCCACCCACCCACCCACCCACGGGCTCCCAGGCTGCAGCCCTGCCTTTGAGAACCTCCTTCCATCCCCTCTACTTCTTTTATAGTGCCTTGCTGTGTTGAGAACTGAGATAAGCTGCTCAATGTTTACTCTAACTCTTGCATTTCCCCTCTCCCTTTTTAATTTTTCTTTTTCAGTAGGAATACATGTGTTAATAATATGAGTAACAAAACTAGAGAACATACATTCTTTCAATTCACATGGCACATTCACTGAAAGAAACTATTTTCAGAACCATGAAACAAGTCTCAACAAATTTCAAGGGGCTGAAATCATATAGAGCATAGTCTTCAGCTACTATAGAATCAAGCTGGAAATCAACAAGAAAAAGACAACTGAAACATTTCTAAAATGTTTGAAAATCAAGCAATTCACATATAATCTTAGATCAAAAAATAAATTCAATGGAAATTACAAAATACTTTGAAAAAATAGTGAAAATACAAGAAATCAAAATGTTCAGAAAGCACCCTGGCTGGTATAGCTCAGTGGATTGAGCATGGGCCTGTGAAGCAAAGGGTCACTGTTTGGTTCCCAGTCAGGGCACATGCCTGGGTTGCAGGCCAGGTCTCCAGTAGGGGACACATGAAAGGCAACCACACATTAATGTTTCTCTTCCACTCTTTCTCCTTCCCTTCTCTCTAAAAATAAATAAAATATTATTTTAAAATGTTTTTTAAAAAATATGTTCAGAAAGCAGCCAAAGCAGTACTCAGAGGGAAATACGTAGCCTTAAGAGGCCTATATTCATTTTGAAAGATTGTCAAATTGTACATGTAAGATCTCTGCACTTTACTGTATATTTATCAAATTTTAATTTTACAAGGCTATAGGAAGCCTTGTAAATTTTTCCAAGAAAAATAGGAAATTATCTGATTAAATTAACACTAAAATACAAATGAGTGATAACATTCAGCTGTGTCTACCTTTCAAGAAAGATTTATCTAACTAAAATTATTTTTGTCACACTTTCATCAAAATGCTATTAAAAACTGGAAAATTTTAGGTGATCAGTATAGGAGAATTTATAAGCCTTTCAAATGGACGTTGGGCCAACCTATTGATCTATATTAGGAGGTTATACAAAAGTTGCATTTGGGGGACACTTTGAGTGAAACAGAGTTCAGAAATTAAGATGTTGATGGATGAAAAAGGAAGAGTAGACTAGGAGAAATAATGTTCAAATATATATTTTTAAAATACTTTATTTTTTATTTTTAGACAGAGGGAAACAGAGGGAGAAAGAGACAGAGAAACATCAGTGTGTAGTTGCCTTTCACACTCCCCTCACTGGGGACCTGGCCCGCAATCCAGAGATGTGTCCTCACTTGGAATCAAACCAGTGACCCTTTCGTTCACAGGCTGGTGCTCAATCCACTGAACCACACCAGCCAGGGCCAAATATAGTTTTATAGGTGCAGACTTTATAGGTGAGTAGAAACCTAGGGAGCTCTTTACTGGTATCAACTGTGCTGCTTCCAGGATAAGCCTTGAAAAGATCCCTTCACTGTCAGTTGCCTTTCCCTCCCAATGTGTAATCCCAAATTTATTTCCCTATAATTCTACAGAGAATATAATTTTCTATAATTCTTACCCTGCCTCCCTCTACCACTGGTTATTTGATAGGTTCTCATGATTTTGAAGATCACCTAAATATTAACCTTAGATGATCTAAGGTTAAATATTATTAATATTTGTATCCTTCTCTTTTAAAATGGCTTTCCTGTTTGAACCAACCTACTTTGTTAAAGTAAGGTCTGGTAGATTCTTCATGGTCACCTGGGGACAGGGTCTCTTGTGACCATCTAGCAAGTGGAGTCCACTAGCAGG